GGCGTGGGTCTTCGGTGATCTTCTTAGATTTTAGGGTCTGGAGGCAGTGCCGTAGGTGGGCGGGCGGTGTTATGAGTAGATGGGCAACGCTCATGGTCGGACGGCGATCCTGGTTTACAGCCGGCGCTGCTGTTGGTCGGCAGGTGCTGCTGGTAGGTGGGCTGAAGCAGCTGGAGGTCGGACGATGAAGCTGGAGACCAGGCGGCAAAGTTGAAGTAGAGTTTAGTATAGAGGACGAGTAGAGTAAAGTGAGACGTTTAGAGAGCCAAAGGATGCCGTACGGCTTTGAGATCTTTTCTTGAGTTCCAGGGCAGCCGGCTCCAGAACAAGGCCTTTTAGAAATTTGGAGAGGCTCGGTAGCGAGCCATCAAGTTACTGTGGCAACTTTAGTCGAAGAAATGCACGAAGAATCAGAGCGGCTCGGCACACGAAACATGAGCCAGCCAATTTTTAAACATTCTTCATATGGTCACACCAAAGTAGATGTCAATGTCAGTGTACATGAATTGTCATTACGATAAAACGTGTTTGCTTTCTTTGCTTCTAAATTATTTTAAACCATTATTATGAAGACTCCTATTAAGAGTGAGGCTAGAAAGCTTATATTTAATATGATTAATAAATTTGATGTGAGACGACAGTGAAAAGATTTTTATTGAGAAAGAACAATGTTTGTTATCAATCTTGGCGGCCATTGATAAGTTCAACTTACCAATGGCCACTAAGTTCGTCTTGTATGACTTGATTGTTTGCTCAATCCTATTCGATGTAGTTGGATGTAATATTGCTTTTTTATTCTACATCTTGTTTTCTATGAAAGTATTCAATGTTAATATATTCGCATTTCTTTCAGACACCGAAAATATAGATGTCAACAAAATTAAAGAGTCTGTCAATAAACTTCAAGATATACACAACTCAGAACGGATTACAGCAACAAAGTACATGAACGAAATATCAGCAATGACAGGTAGATAGATACCTTAACAATTTATTAGAGAAGAAGAAATTTTCTTCCTAGATTTATGTAACTACCAACCTACATACACACATATATTGAAAGAAAGAAAAAAAGAAAAGTCTTTATTTGGTACCAAAACAATTACTTACTAATTGATTACTTTATAATGAACATCTGTGTTTTAATAATAAGATTTCTTGTTACTTTGTACCTGATCTTAACACCAACCAAAATCATGCAACGTCCACCCACTGTTTCTTGTGTATCTAAATATTTTGAATGTGTGATTGGTTAGTTTCAATACTAATACCTAAATATGTAAATATAACTCATTATTGTATTTAATATTGTGTTTTTTTTCAGATGTTAGTCTTGCAACAATAAAACGTATTAAAAAAGAAGGCCAATCGAACAACAATATTTGGTCTACGACTGGAAAGAAAAGACCCCATGCAAGTACTGTGTCAAATCTAGACAACTTTGATATATGTGCAATTAGAAATAAAATAAATGAATTTCATACTGTAAAAAAACAAGTACCTACTATTAGGAACTTACTTTCAGAGTTAAGAGATGCAATTGGATCTACTGGAAGTAGGGAGACTTTAAGAAGAATTTTGCATGAAAATGGCTTTGAATTCAAAAAGAATTCCAATGAACGATCACTACTCATCTCTATCATATGAAATTGTAGCTTGGCGTAATAGATATTTAAGAAAAATGTGCCAAGCTAGGCAAGAAAATAAACATATTGTCTACCTTGTGAAACCTATATACATAAGAACTACAAACCTAAAAAGTCTTGGCAAAGTCCGTCAACAAGTGGTCTTCTTGATAAAATATCAACTGGGAAGAGACATATTATTGTCCATGCTGGCTCAATGGAAGGGTTTGTGCCTAATGCTCTTTTGAGCTATAGTACGAAGTCAGTGATGGCAGATTACCATCACGACATGAATGCCGTAAATTTAAAAAAATGGTTGTGTGAAAAATTAATTCCCAATTTGGAAAAACCCAGTATTATTATCATGGATAATGCCAGTTACTACACATGTCAAATAAATAAAGCGCCTACCACACAAACCCGAAAAACTGACATCCAAGACTGGCTTAGATCTCAAGGTGTGTCGTTTGAAGACTTTCTAACGAAAGATGAGCTACTTTGCTTAGTAAAAAAGAATAAACCGGATCCAATATACGAAGTAGATGAAATTTTAAAACATCACGGGCATGAAGCGTTGGGATTACCGCCTTATCATCGTGACCTAAACGCAATAGAAATGATATGGAGTTTGGCGAAGAGAAGGGTTGCAAGTAATAATATAGGTGTCACACCTGGTAATATGGAAAAAATCATGAAGGATGCGTTTGAAAGTGTCACAGTTGAAGAATGAAAAAAATGCATAGAATAATTACATTGAAAAAGATAACATTCTTGAAACAGAACTGGAAAGTTTTGTTATAAACTTAAGAGAAAATGATAGTGACAGTGACGAATCTTTTGAAATGGATTTTTTGGACTCTGATTTTGATTATGAATCACAGTAAATAATGTTATAATTGGAACAATGTTTAATTATTTCTCCTTACAATTCAATAACACACATCCTCGCTCAATTACATACGCCTCTTTCCCCTGAGGGTAAGCAGAGACTTTGTTTTTTTTCGTTTCATTCACAACCATCAATCACCAGGTTTTGTAATTAACACATTCACACAATACCTATATCTGTCTCATAATTTAAGTTTCATTCATCCTCTCTAAACTTGTCCTATTTAGTAAACCATCTTGGTACTCCTTTTTATTGAATAGTAGCATATAAAATCAACTGATAACTAGATGTAAAAGGTTTCAGTGTGTAATAACGATTTATTGTTAAAGATAATTTTTAGGCTTTGTTATTATCTTTTATATTTCTATGAGTGATTTCGTCAAAAAGTTGTGCGAAGATTGTTTACCAAACAAGTTAGGATGAACAGACTTAATATAGGTGATCAAACCACTGGAGCATACCTTTCTCAATACATGTCACTATGCCATGTTTCAGACCACCTTTCACGAATCACATCATATTCCTCACTCTATCACACAATTTCACTCCACATATCATAATTGTCGGCACCAACACTCCACAATGAATAGCCAATCGCGCCTTCTTACTGCAGTCCTTTTCATCACTCGCCCATAGAATCACAGATTACCTAAATACAAAATATAAGAATATTTCAAGTATCAAAATGTATTTTACCTTCTATACGCAGTGATACCACAGCTAGATTTTTTGAATTTGCCGCCATTTTCCAGGCTCATGTTTCGTGTGCCAGACTCTAGGTCCCGGTCCCTAACCTAACCTAACCTAACCATTTAAATTTAGACAAGGTTCGAATTGAACTAAAGAATTAAAATAGGTACTAGCAAACCAGTGAACCAAATGTTCACCAAAAAAAAAATGTATTTAATTAATTGAGAACTTCGGAGATTTTGTGTGGTTTCGTTTGAAATAGAAATCACGTGATATGTATATATTTACAAAATAATAAATAGTGTGTAATATCGTTGAAATTGTGCGTTTCCAGGGATGATAATAAAAGATTAGTATAAATATGATGGATAATGTATAAAGGGGATACCCTACAGAAACGTGATTTTTTCAACTTATTTTGCTCGATGTTGTTTTAAATATTGTACCATGGTACGCAATTTTTAATTGGCGAGTCCGACTTGCACTTAAATACATTACATTTTCATACACTTGCATTTTATATTGTATTAAGATGTTATAGTCGACGTTTTACACAGCTTTTAACAGCAGGCATTAAAATATTTTTATTATGCACTCATAAAGATAGCGAGTAATGAATCAAGTTACTAAGTAGTGATTCGATGTTTAATACGTGACATTACAATTATAATGGAGTAGAAGACACATTATCCAGTATTATATGGACTTCAAAGGCTTAACCTATTGTATCATTAACTGTATATGATATCTATATTGTATATGGTATGTTTGACCGACGTTTTGGTCCCAATTAGGCTCGTGAATTGTTTATGGTTCATATCGTTTGACGCACACACCACATCGACTCCCACTGACTGATACATATACTCTGATGAAGTATGTTGCCATACACACCCTAAATATCAACACATAATACATCTCAGAGATTCCACCGTACACTTAAATTTAGTTATTTTACCATACTAGGGGTAATTTTTGTAAAGATTTTTATAGTTAGGAACTCTTTTTTTATTCGCAGTCTTTCCTCGCCATTTCATCGCTTCCACTAGCGTAATTAATATAATCCACATTATTTATGTGTTCTTCTTAATAAAATCCACGTCATTTACGTATCTTAAATACCTGCCAAAGAATGCTAAGGAATATCTGTTCATAGTGAACATCTTCAATTATCATTAAATCTCACTCAGTAATCCTAATTCGCGTCAGAACAATTTCACTTTTCACCGCGGAATTCGCCGGTGTGATTTGAAATTTATTTGAAATTCGTGTCCTAATTTTAAATCAAATCGCGGATCCCTAAGGGAAGAGTAAGTTTGTTTTTACAGATTTACACTGCAAGTGAATGAGCTGTTGATTCATAAGGGGCCATTATTTATTTATTATAAAATACGTCACACGTTAAGGGGAAGGGAGGTCGACGAAGTGTGACATTATTATACATTATATACAAGGGGTGGGAGGGATCCTAAGTTCCGTGATGTCACATTTCAAATTCCTATACTTTTGAACTATTATCAAAAATCTTTTAAATCTGTAGATGTCATTTGTATGGTTTTCATTTGTTTTTTTGGCTAATTTTCAGAACTTATTTCGGAACTGCTCTGTTTCTGTATTAATAATAATTTCTAAATTCAAAATAGCAAAATTTGTGAGGGCACACTTGGGGAGGGGAGGACTCACAAGTGTGAACAACTGTGACAAGGACGGGGGAGGGGGGGAAAAATCACGTAATTAGTATGGTGTACTTTATGGATGACCCCTAATATTATATAGTTGAAACGTTTCTTTCTTAGGAACGGTTGCTGCTTTCCGTCCTGCCTCAGCACGTGGCTATGGAGATGAAGAACGACATCATCTCGCCGGTGGAGGGCCAGTTCCACAAGATCTACATCCAGAAACACGAGCAAGTCAGGTAAGGATATGGAACAGAAATAACGGACGATTTGCACAGGTACCGACTACGCCTGACTCATTGTATGCAAAGTGCAAACAGTTTAGCACCTTGTTCGTCCGTTTTAGCACCTTGTTCATTAGTTCATTGTTACTGATGTATTCACTGAATAGAAGTAAAAGGGTATACTAAATGTAAATACCGGTTATTTTGTGCTTCTTTTTATTATGTAGTTTGCACTTAGGTACGTACGTGTGTTAGTAGACAGTAAATTAGTATGAGGCAAATTGAAAACTCGCGCTAAGTTTTACTTTGTTTAACCTTCAATGTTATAGAATAAATGTTTCGTAGAATACAAGTTTGGTAGATACTTACTGATGTTACAACATATACTTGAAAGAAAATGAGAAACAAAAACAACAAGTATATAATTAGGAACTAAGTAAGTAGCTGTAATGAAATGATGTTGCGTCAGCCAATTCGGATCCTTGACAGGTTTCTTGAAGCCTCGCGTTGATTTTGAATTGGCATCCTACTTAATTGTATTATATATGATTGACCTAAGGAAGTCCTTTTAGATCTTGCAATAATTTTATTTATTTATTTTTGAACTTTATTGACCAAAATACATAATAACTGCAAAAGGCGTACTTAATGTTAAAAGCATTCTCTCCCAGTCAAGCTTTGAGGAAAATGAAAATCACGAACGGCGGTATTTAAACCTAAATATATACTACTAGTGTCCGCCCGCGACTTCATCCGAGTTAACTTTAGTTTTTGATCCCTCAGGAACCTGACACTTTTCCGGAATAAAAATTATCCTTTGTCATAAACTATATGTAATTGTAAATCCGTTCAGTAGTATATGCGTGATTGAATAACAAACATAGAAATTGGACAACATAAATGCTTGCGTGGTGATTATTTTGATGCAGAGTTATTTTAAAACTATGATATCTCCTAAGATATTTATTGAAGTCGACTGAAGTCAAGAACAATTTGATCAAAATTAAATAGTTGTGATAAATAATGTGTTCATTTTGGTAAAAATAATTATCATGTTTACAAAAACACCTTCGCAGATAATGCGTTATTTTAGAACAACTTTGATTACCAAAAAAATATACTGAGTCAATCTTCACTACATAGTATAAAACAAAGTCTCTTTCTCTGTCCCTATGTCCCTTTGTATGCTTAAATCTTTGAAACTACGCAACGGATTTTGATGCGGTTTTTTTTAATAGATAGAGTGATTCAATAGGAAGGTTTATATGTATAATACATGCATAATATAGTAGAGAAACACTGATAATTTTAGAGGTTTTTAATGTAAGGTCGTAAATAAACACATTTTTTGCGCTTACATTGCAAACGCTGACTGAACCCCACGAGATATATCAAAATAATGTACTACAGTATTGTACACCTTAAAAAGGTCTACAAAAAAGTCCGCGATGGTATATGTCTATCTCTTAAGGATAACCCACAATAACCAATTTTTATCCTATACTTTTTACGAGGAATAATAGATTATTTACGAAGCGATTTTAAGCAATATAACATTCATTATCTTAAATACATTGTGCATTTAATATAGAACAATTTGGCCCTTTAACGCATATAATTTAAATGAATATTTTCGAAGATATTACAAATTTAAAATTCAGGGTCATAGTGGTTCCGACGCTACCGGGCTTGGCGGCGCGTGCCTATTGTAATTGGGTATTAGAAGAATGTCATTGTGTATAATACAAGCCTGAGAACAAAAACTATAGTCTACACTACAGCTTTACACCGAAGCGAAGCGAGGGCGGGCCACTAGTAAAAGATAAACATATGCTGTCGCGGACTTTTGAACTTGGAGAATAATTTGTTCATACGTGATTTTTGTGTAACTTTAACCGTTTACTCAGCGCACGCTACTAAAGCTCTCAAAAGGATTTTGCGCAACATTTTTAATTGATGCTCCGCTTCTTCGCCTTATCATGACGTTATATAGCCAAAAAAGCTTCCGTGATAAATAAGGGCTTTCTATCACAAAAATATTTATTTAATTTGCATTAGTAGTTCCTGATATAACCGCATTCAACCAAAAAAACTCTTCAGATTTTTATAATATTAATATATGTAGTAATAATGTAGGTATAGTTTTCTTAATATTCTGAAAGTGTCTGCCAGTTTCGTTCTCACCTTCGATAGCTCATGACTAGTCAGATTCTTACATTTACGGTTGTACAGGACGGCAGAACATTACCGGTTGAATTGGTTGAATCGTATTTTATCTCGGCTGACATACTCTTGGAACCGCTCCAAATCTTCTCGGGTTTCCATTCAATATCCTCCTTTGAACATGTAACTCTGTTAATATTACTCTGTCAATTTATTTGCTATCAAAATATTATAAGAAAAATTTGTACATGCCCGAGAACAAATTATACTGTAAAGCAAACCAATGAACCAAATGTTCACCAAAACCTGATTTCTCGAAAACCGGAAGTGCTACGTTACTCAAATCCGGTAAATCCGGTTTGTAGTCTCATCAGACTATTCTTAACTTATAACTTAAATATTCCCTTTATCTATCTCTTAGGCTGAGCGCAGATTAGAGACACGACTGTTGTTAGACAAAGGCACCATTTCGAATGAATGTATCGAATATCAATAATCTATCTTTGATAATTTGTCAAAATTTATGGACCCACATATTACTTATTTTATCGTATGTATTATACTTTCTTTCTAATCGCTAGACAATCTTGTCGTTGGTGTGCGCCCTCGCATACATTACAAAGGGAAGCGGACAGTCGTTAGTCAGACTTGTCGCTTTGCAGTTCTTGTGTACATAAGACTTTTTTGTCTATGAGACGTCTCGTTTCGAATGTGCGCATCTTCATAATTTTTGTTGAGCAATAGTCTGTCTTGAGACTGTCGTGACGCTAATCTGCGCTCAGCCTTACGGTTTGGCCGCTGAAACAGCACCACAGACGGACGGACTTGTCTAATAGATAAGAGATACTTTACACCTCAAGCGAAGCGACGCGAGCAAGCGAATAAGGAATAATTTAATTTCTTAGTAGTAATTAATGTCTTACAAATTATATTAGAGTTTAGATATTCTGCATATTTGTTAAAAACACAATATTTGAATAATAAGAATTTTGAAAGCATACTGCTGAATTTTGCAGCTGTGAAGCAACGACAGAAAGAAAAACATAAAAAATCTGTCTGTAATAATCTGAAAGATGTTTTTCTTGACAATAAACACAAAATACTAAACTTGTGTAGCTTAACTGTACGAAAAACATTGAGCTTATCTTCATTATATTCATCAATCATAACTTGATTAGTTGATTACGCAAAGATAAAACCTAGTGAATGAATTTGTCAGAACAGATTATCCGTATGAAACATATCAATTAAGACCGGTTTTGATAACTCGTTACAAATCGTATTATATTAATTATAATGGCTCTTTATTATTATATACTATTATCAAGGGTGTGAAATGTGTTCTAGAAGTTTAAGGGATTGTAGTAAATTCCTACATTATTGATTATAGTAAAAGCATGTAGGTATGTGATAAATAAATCTATTGAATTTTTTTTTCTGCATTAATACCTACTTGTCAGGCTTCCTTTGTCCGTCTGTCCTTCAGTGGCAGTCTCATGAACCGTAATAAAAAGTCGAACACTGAAACTTCATTTATTTGTGTAGGAATTCTATGGCCGTAATGTTGATGAAGATTAAATAAAATAACGATAGGAAAAACAATCTTTCGCCTGAAAAACTGTATCACACTTCTTTCTTCTTCGTTTTCTTCACTCGGCTTTCTTCTTCGTTTTCTTCACTCGGGCGATTTGATGTGAATCATCTTTTGCGGCTTAGTTTCAAATTTGCCAGGCGTCCCGCGACCACTCAGTATTTTGTTATCACATGAATATTACAATTGTTGATAATAAAATTCAAACAGAATTGTACCCACCGTAGTTTGCATAAACACACACGTCATATAGTCCAGTCCAGGTATAATGTCCCTGTTGAGGTGAACGTCAAACACCGTATGTACAAACAGAGTTATGGTTACGATGTATATTTTGGGACGAAACGTACACAAAACATTATCGTGAGCCCAACAGGTGAACGATAACGGCACTAAATCACCAATGTCAACAATTGCTATTTCAGAATATTTTGACTGATTGACAACATGTTATTGAGGAGTTGCGACTCTGTTTACAGTTGGTTGTTACTTAGGTCCATTATGTAAAAATCGTATACTATTAAATATTGTTCTTGATATATTTCATAGTATTTTGTGATTATTTCATTATGAGTCAAATAGTGCCCCACTGTTGGGGCTGCCCTATGGATGGAATACAAAGAAAGGGCTGTGGCGCACTATGTCCAGTGCACAGTGCGGAATTTTGTTTGTGTGTGTATGCTGGTGCAGATTACCTTTTTATAGCGTCACAGAGGGATGGGACCTCAAGCCGAGAATTGGCGAGTGCGTCTAGAGGTATTCTAGACGGATGGCATATCCCCACGGGGGTAGTCTCCTCTCCGTGTGGAGCCTCTAGACCACTCGAACCTGAGGGGGTCGGCTCAACTAGAGGGCCTCGGCTCTAGTCTCTGAGACTCGGACCTCGGCTCTAGTTAGCCGTTGTCGTGGGGGGCGGGGAAAAACGCCCAGGTACGTACCTGTAGGCCTGGTATAGGGTGCTGTGTGAAGACCGGGTCTTCGTACTATTATCCTACGGCTGCGGCGTCTGCCTAATGCTAAGCTGGTGTGCAAATTTGCTAGCTGTGTAGTGTTGGTGTTTGTGGCCTGTGTGGAAGGAGTTAGAGGCGCGTTGGTGCGGGTGATTTCGTCGTCGGGGTACTCTTAAGACGTACCTAGGCCGATGGAATCGGAGGGACCTACCATTGGAGGACGGGAGGGCGGACGTGTGATAATTACAGGCTTTTACTACTCTAGGGGTTCGGATGATGCGCGGCTTTATCGGAGCTATATAGGGCGGTGT